CTTGCCAGGACCTTTCCCGGCACACTGAGGAGTGAGAAGCCTCTGTAGTTGTTACAGTCTGTGCGGTCCCCCTTCTTAAAGAGGAGGACCACCATGGCATCCTTCCAATCCTGCAGAACCCATCCAGTGGCCCAGACTGTTGTTATGATGTCATGTAGGGCAGTATGCGCACAAACGCCACCTCCCTCAGAATTTTCTTGGGAGATCATCTCTGCCGCTGCCTTTCCTCGTCTCAGACTCTGGATCGCCTTCAGTACTTCCTCAACGGATAGCACCTCAGCCGCCATTCAAAGGAGGAGACTTTCTCCTGCAATATTTGAGGCACCGCAGCTCAGCAGGGTCATCCTCACTTTGACCCATGATGTTTTCCAGGCTAAGGGATTCCCCCTCCCCCAGGACCTCACAGAAATGCTCAGCAAATCTGCAAACCAGTTCCTGGGGGTCGGAGATTGGATCACCGTTTTTTCCCTTAATGATGGTAATAGGTGTGGCGCTGCAGGTTACTTTTTTGATGGAGTTAAATAGGGATTTGTGATCGCGGGCCATTGAGGCAGACTCCATCCTTGCAGCGCCTCACGGCTCTCCGAACCTCAGAGCGAAGGCTGTGCTAAGCTCCTCATTCTCTGACGTGGGATGGTGTATACGATTAGAGTGGGCCTGTTGCTTTTTCTCAACATCCTGAACACCTCCTCTGTCAGCCAGGGTCTCTGGGGAGGTCTGGACCACGTACCAAAAGCCTATTGCAGCTGCATGAGTCACAGTCCTAAACCTTGCCCATTTACTCTCGACATCAGGAGGAGTGGGGGACGATGCCAACCCCAGCCGCAAGCGACGATGAAATTCGCGCTTGCAACTTCCATCAGCTAGCTGAGACAGGCCACCTTAGGTTGAAATGGGATCCAGGGTGTACACCCACCACCGGAGTGGAAGAATGGCAGCACATTTTACAGATGACAAGTCGATGGTCAGAGGCAGATCAGCTCCACAGTTGGTCCTGTTGTCAAGGACATGGGCTCGTATCTGCTGGTCCGTCGCTATGTAGTCCAGCAGATCTTCTTTCTTGGACCCGGCATGCATCCATGATGTTGTGTGGATGCGCTGATGCCGGAACAGCGTCTTGGTAATAACAAGCTCATGGGCTGCAACAAAAAATCTAGCAGCCTCCTACCGTTGTTATTCAGCTGATCTGGCCCATGCCTTCCAATCACTCCAGACCAAGTGCCATCATCATGAACCAACTCGGGCATTGAAGTCACCCAACAAGATTACTCTATCCGCGAGGGCCTTTTAGCCAGCAACTGTGACAGGAGGTCATAGAAGGCATCTGAATACATCGGCCTTCCTGCATCCCTCCACGGATTTCGTCTTCGGTGGGGGCATAAGTACCACGACCACCACTCCTCGCCTCCAGTTGACGGGAATGCAGCCCAAAGTAGCCTGGGGCTTACAGCTTCCCACATCTCACTGCACACGCTCCCACACCCCCTTCATTCTTTTGTTCAGAAGAAGAGCCACACCCTGTTGGTTTGGTAGTCTCCTGCCCCGAGCAGAGGACTGTCCACACCCTCAATGGTGGCAGGAGCCAGTCCACCGGACCTCCTGAATACCGCAGAGATGCAGGTGGTACCGGTCCAGCTCCCGACAGAGGAGTGGCAGCCTCTCCTCCGCAGTGAGCGTTCGAACATTCCACGTGGCCATCCGTAGTGGCCTTTTGTTTGTTTCTGGAGGAGCCCCGAGGGTAATATTCAATCTCCTGGCTCCGCCAAATGGGGTTTGGCACACACACCTACCCACAACACCTACACACGTACCCACCTACCCACACACCTACCCACACACCTACACACACCCACACACGTACCCACCCAAACACCTACACACACCCACATACACCTACACACACTTACACACACCCACACCACGTACCCACCCACACACGTACACACCCACCTACACACACACCCCCTACACACACACCTCCACACACCTACACACACGTACCCCACCTCCACACACCTACACACACGTACCCACCCACCTACACACACCTACACCCCACCTACACACACCTACACACACGTACCCCACCTCCACACCCTACACCACGTACACACCCACCTACACACACCTACCCCCACCTACACACACCTACACACACGCACACACACACACACCACCTACACCCACCTACACACACCTACACACACCTACACACACCCACACACCTAACACACACCTATACACACCTACACACCACCTACACCCCACCTACACACACCTACACACACCCACACACCTAAACACACCTATACACCTACACACACACACCTACACACACACCTACACACACCTACACACACGTACACACACCCACACACACACCTACACACAGCTACACACACACCCACCTACACACACCTACCCACACGTAACCCCCACCTACCCACACGTACCCACACGTACCCACACCTACCCCCACCTACCCACACCTACCCACACCTACCCCCACCTACCCACACGTACCCCCACCTACCCACACGTACCCCCACCTACCCCACCTCCCCCCTACCCACACCTACCCCCACCTACCCACACCTACCCACAAATACCCCCACCTACCCACACCTACCCCCACCTACCCCCAACCTACCACACCTACCCCACCTACCCCACCTACCCACACCTACCCACAAATACCCCACCGACCCACACCTACCCCCACCGACCCACACCTACCCCACCTACCCACACCTACCCCACCT